ACCCCTCTGGGTTTTCTGCTATTTTCTTTCTAGTTCTTGTTTATTTCCTCTTATCTCCATGGGGACGTGGAACAGAATTTTTCCTCCATAAGCCATGTGTGTTGTAAGAGGCGACTATAGTGCTGGGAGCACTGTATAAATTACTAAATTTAAAAAGATAAACTTTTGTTTTTCTTGTTGGGCCACCCTGTCTCGGTGGGATGAGACCGGTTTGTTGAAAGAAGAAAGAATATATATATATTTATTTATTTTATGAAATGATAGAAACTTTTTCTGAAGGTATTGAAATTTAAAAGCATGAAATTTGATGGAAAACTTACGGAATTACACTCTTGCAGAGCTAGCAGTCTCGGCGATTTTGCCCAGTTTGAGCCTTGTTTTGGGTCAGTTCCATTATTCCAGTCACCCAAACTCATAGGTGTTTAGCTAGAACTCTTTTTATTCTATCGGTTGAGTACAAGAAATTGCCTTTTTACCTATTTCAACTAAATTGTGATCAGAGATTACTAAATTTGGTCAATTTCACACAAAATTCAAGAAAGGTCAATTTCAAAATAGGGCCCAGAATAAATAATGTAGACATTCCTGGCACTAAAACATTTTCTCTGTTCATTAGTCGCATCTCCAGGCCCCTCTTACATATTATGCCTTCACCAAAGTCAGCCTCGGTAACAAAAACATAAGGTGGGACCAAGTCAACAAGGTTCTAAATGATATAAACTTGGAAGATATCCTAAACTATACTCGAGGCATATTCCTTCAACCATACTACTATGGCTTCACGCCAGGGTTGGTGCCGTACTAGTACGCATAAATTCTAGCGCCTTCAAATCTAGCAAGAGAAAGCTGGTAGGCCTACATATGAAAGAATGGGTCTGTGGCAAGTGTGCACAGTATAAAAAAACCCTGCTGCACACAGTGCATAATGAGAAAAAAAAAAAAAAACTTTGTTTTTGGATTAAAACAGCGACTTTGCAGTGTATTTTTGTATGCTATTTATGGTTGTATTCTAGCTTTCCTGGTCTCATTTATAGAATGGAAGACATATTACAGAAATTGAGATGATTTTTATTGGTTTCACAATGAAAAGTACCTTGAAATTGAGCTCAAAGTAGCAGAAATGTTCGATTTTTGCCAAAGTTCAAAAGTAAACAAATCATGCCACGTGTCCAATACACATAACTAGTGAGTCTAATATTCTTTCACAAGTTTGCTGATATTGTTTATACCATTTCTACACTAATGCAGTAGTTTGCATAACAGTAAATCTTCTAATTTTTTTTTTGTGAGAATAAAAATTCCAAGTGGAAAGCAAAAGAAATGTAAGGGAGGCCTGGGGACGAGACTAATGAACAGAAAAAAATTTATTTTAGTGCCAGGAATGTCTGTCTTGTTTATTCTGGACCCTATTTGGAAATTGGCATCTTTTGAAATTTGTGTGAAATTGGCAAAATTGACAATTTCTGACCACTTTATTGGATAGTTGAAATCGGTAAATGGGTAGTTTCTTGTACTCATTCGATAGAAAAAATGGAGTTCTAGTGAAAAGTCACGATTTTTTGTCAACTGGTACATTGGAATTGGCTGAAAATAGGGCTCAAAGTGGGTGAAAGCGCCAATGCATAAACATTGTCGAGACCACTAACTTTGCAAGAGCATAATTCCCTAAGTTTTCTATCAAATTTCATACTTTTGGTGTCATTATGATCGGGAAAATATTCTCTATCAGTTCATCAGTTTTTTTTTTTTCTCTCTTCTCAGACCAAGTTTAGGGGAGGGCCTGCTGACCCTGAAAGGTAGAGAAGATGTAAACTAGAAACAGAAAGGTGCTTCCTATACAGGTGAAGGCAAAGAATAACAAAGCGGCTAAAAGAGGCCAATATACTTGTAATACGAAGGGAGGCACTGGTCAGAAAAATAGCCAACATCGAACTTAAGCTAAAGGAATCTTACAGGAGTCAAGAAACATGGGAAGAAGTAAAAGCCATAATTGAAATTGAAAGGAAACCCAAAATGTTTCTTTTCTTATGCCAAATCTAAGTCGAGAACAACTTAGACGAGATGGGTCCTACGCAGATGATAGCAAGGAAATGAGTGAGCTACTCGAGTCCCAGTGTGACTGTTTTTAGCGAGCTGCTAACCAGACTGAGAGTCGAAAACCTAAATGAATTTTTTATGAGCGAGACACAATTTGGTAGACTCAAACTTGTCTGATATTGTCCTGATTCCAAATGATTTCGAAAAGGCAATAAATGACATTCCTGTGCACTCTGCCCTAGGCCAAGACTCGTGAAACTCAGTGTTCATCAAGAACTGCAAGAAACCCCTATCATGTGCTTGTAACATCCTATGAGGAGGGAGCATAGACACAGCTGCTAAAAACAACAGACATATCCCCACTCCACAAAGGGGGCAGTAAAGCAATAGCAAAGAACTGCAGACTGATAGCACTAACATCCCATATCATAAAAATCTTTGAAAGGGTTCTAAGAAGCAAGATTGCCACATATCTAGATACCCATCAGTTACACAACCCAGGGCAACATGGGTTTAGAGCAGATTGCTCCTGCCTGTCTCAACTACTGGACCACTATGACAAGATCCTGGATGCTCTAGAACACAAAACACAGATGTAGTATACACAGACTTTGCAAAAGCCTTTGACAAGTGTGACTATGGTGAAATAATACACAAAATGTGTGATAAAGGAATAACTGGAAAAGTTGGTAGATGGATCTATAATTTCCTAACAAATAGAACACAGAGTAGTAGTAAACAGAGTAAAGTCTGAGGTGGGTACTGTGAGAAGCTCTGTTCCACAAGGCACATTATTATTATAATCAAGGGGGAAGCGCTAAACCCGGAGGATTATACAGCGCCTGGGGGGAAGGATGTGGAAGGCATTCAGGCTTAATTTGGGGAACTGGAGCACAGATCCAATTCCCTAAATCAAGAGCCCCTCACCAACATCAAGGAACCTTCCTTGAGGGGCCACAAGGCACAGTACTCTCTCCCATCCTGTTCCTCATCCTCATATCTGACATAGACAGGGATGTAAGCCACAGCACTGTCTTTTTATGCAGATGACACCTGAATTTGTATGACAGTGCCCTCCATTGAAGACACTGCAAGACTCTAGGCAGACATCAACCAAATCTTTGAATGGATTTCAGAAAACAATATGAAGTTCAATGATGAGAAATTTCAATTACTCTGATATGCAAAATGTGAGGAAATTAAAACTATATGAGAGTATAAAACAAATTCCAATCACACATTAGAGCAAAAACTAATGTAAAAGACCTGGGAGTGATAATGTCAGGGGATCTCACTTTCAAAGTCCACAACATTGTATCAATCGCATCTGCTAGAAAAATGACAGGATGGATAATGAGAACCTTCAAAACTAGGGATGCCAAGCCCATGATAACACTCTTCAGGTTGCTTGTTTTATCTAGGCTGGAATATTGCTACACAGCACCTTTCAAGGCAGGTGAAATTGCTGACCTAGAAAATGTACAGAGAACCTTCACGGCACACATAACTGTGATAAAACACCTCAGCTACTGGGCATGCTTGAAGTTCTTCAGCCTGTACTCTCTAGAACGCAGGTGGGAGAGATACGTTATTCTGTACACTTGGAAAATCCTAGAGGGATTAGTACCAAACTTGCACACGAAAATCACTCCCTGTGAAAGCAAAAGGCTCTGCAGATGATGCAACATCCCCCCAATGAAAAGCAAGGGTGCCACTAGCATGATGAAAGACAACAGGATAAGTGTCAGGGGCCCAAGACTGTTCAACTGCCTCCCAGCATACATAAGGGAGATTACCATTAGACCCCTGGCTGTCTTCAAGAAAGCGCTTGACAGGCACCTGACCAGCCAGGCTGTGGTTCGTACATCGGGTTGTGTGCAACCAACAGTAACAGCCTGGCTAATCAGGCCCTGATCCACCATGAGGCCTGGTAACAGACTGACCCCCAAAACCCCCTCCAGGTATACACAAAAAATAAAAGATTTACTGTTATTCAGACTACTGCATAATGGCAATAATTGTATAAATAATGTCACTGCATTCGTGAGTACATATTAAACCAGCCAGTTGATGTGTATTAGACGCGTGATGTGTTTTGTTTACTCTTGAACATTATCAACAATTAAACATTTCTGCTACTTTTATTCTGTAAACCAATCAAAATCATCTTTTTTGTAATATTCTTTCATTGTATCAAATGAGACCAAGAAACTGAGAATGCAACCATAAATATCATACAAAAATACACTGCAAAGTTACTGTTTTACACCAGAAACACTTGTCGCATTTGTTTTTTCCCATTGTGCATTGCGTGCTGCAGGATTTTTTTTTTTTTTTAATGCTGCTCACACTGACCACGCAGACCCATTCTCTCATATGTTGGCCTACCAACTTTCTCCTGCAAGATTGGAAGCTGTTAGAATTTTGGCATAGTATTACAGGATCAACCCTGGCTTCAAAGCAATAATATTCTGGGACTGACCCTGAAAAGGTTAAAGGGGATTACCAACAAGCTCCTTGCTGTCTTCAAGCAGGAAGTCATAAGTTCAAGTCGATTCCTGATCAGCTGGGCTGTGGTGTATATGTTGGACTGTATGTGGCTAGCACCAATAGCCTGGTTGATCAGGCTCTTATCCACCATGAGGCTTGGTCACAGACCAGGCCATGGGGGGGCATTGATCCCTGAAACCCTCTCCAGGTATTAAGCAAAGCATTAAATATAATACATCATGACAATGAACTACAAATTTTTTATGATTTGGAGACAATTTTTGCTATTTTTGGGGGTGTAAAGAAAATAATCCTATTTTACCCATAAGTTCTTCAGTTTGTTTTACATGATTTCATCTCACACTCAATGTTCCATGACATTACTGTATTAATAGATGGTCTACCATACTTTATAAAAAAAAAAAACTATCATAATGTACTATTTTTTTTATTTAAAATTTATTCTGTTGCAGGTATGGATCTTTGCATTTGGACTGCCGTTTGAAGACGCACCTAGCTGTACCACCAGTTGTAAATCCAGGTCAACACTATGATGATCCACTACTTAATCCTGTTAAGGATCGTTTCATGCCAGCTTGGCAGGCCTCACAATTGTGACCATCCACTCTTGATCTTCAAGACCCCTTCCCTCTGCCAGAGGGCATGGGAGCAGGCTGAATACCTGGCTGGGTGACGTGGCTCTGCGGCGGAGCATCGTTGCTACATTTCTGCACCAGCCGCCAGAATTCATCGTGCCAAACTGCAGACCACCACCTCAACTACATACTGCCTGCACTACTAACTCTCACATTTGTTAATATCTAGACTTACCAATCTTAAGAATAAATAAGAGGAGGAGTATCACTTTTTCAAATATTTCACCATGTATACCTACACACATAGATTACCTTTGTTGATAATAGTAATTTTAATGTAAGACTGAAGCTACCAGATTAAATGTAACTACTGTATTGGTTTTCTAAACCATTTATCACAACTACTGTATTATACTTGAAAATTTTTAGACTTCCAATTAGTTAAGATAAAAGCTGGGGATTGTAAAGTTTAACTTTTGTGGACATGTGTGGGCGTGAGCCAGTGTATGGTGTATGTGTTGGAGAGTAGGTGGAGGTCTTGCTGCAGCGTTGACTCGGGCTCTGGCCATTATTGCTAAGTGTCTCCCTCCTCCCTGGTGCAATATTTATCCTGGGTTGGGGTATTCATCAATAACTGTTGTAATAGTTTTGTGCTGCCACTGTTTTTGTTTGGGAATATTAATTATAAAAATAGAAGCACAGTAAGAGGAAACTTAATTTTCCACACTTAACTCAATTACTAATGGAAATTTTAATGGTAAAAAAAGTGTGCTAATATACTCATTAACAGTGGTAAGCACAGGGTTATTTGCAGATTTTTTTTTTTTTTTTGCTCCATAGAATGTATTCATTCTCATCATATGAACTGGTAAACTAATTGAAATATTCACATTGCAGATGTAAATTGCCTTTTAAAGAATTACTGTTGATTTAACACAAACTCATTTGTATGCAGTATGATTGTATTCAATCGAGTTTACAACATGTAAGTATTTCAGTTATTTTACTTTAGTGTGACATTCATGATAGGGTCAACATTTCGTAATGTTCAGTTTAGGCTGTTGTGTTGTGTGCATAAATATTACCTTTAAGTGTAATGTATATGAATCTGTTTAGTACATTGTTTGCCTTTTGTATATGTAGAGGTTCTCAGCAGGACATAAGGCTGTCTGTGAATTTTTTTTTTTAGTGATAGAAGGTACTTTTCCATGAGCGTGTCATTTTACAGTATATATGCTGGTAGAATCTCTTATGGTGATCTGATTTTACATGTAATGAAAAGGTTTTGCTTTTTTAGATTTTAGATTTTTGTCAGGTTGATGCTAAAACTGCTCTGCAGATAAAACTTGTTTGCCAAACTCTGTGCCAATAATTTGTCTGGCCAAAAAAAAAATAAAAAAGCTAAAAACAAAAATTAATTCAGTTTTAGATTGGCAGCCAAGTAGACTTAAAAGTATAATGCTCTTTCTATTGTGTGACAGTTCAACTTTTAAATTGTTTCAAAATCATTTATCTTTGAACCAACATAACATCAGTATTTGCACTGTCTTTACTGTTTAAGGTTATAATCTTTTCATTCATTGTTAATGTGTAGATATGACAATACAGTTGTTCTAATGCTGTTTATTCTGCTCCGTAATGTAAGCCCATTTGCTGAAAATAATGTAGTTCATTTAATATATTTTTTTAAAGTTTTTAATACAGAAAATGTTCAAATTTTAAATCATGACAATTTTTTTCTAGCGCTTGTAAGGGTTTTCTCATGTTTGTAAATTATATCAGTAGTGCAGTGCTAAATTTAGTTGCTATAAACTCCATTGTGTATGTTTTGCCATTTTTAAAGTGGTGGTGACATTATATATAGCCAACTGTAATCAAAAGCAAATTTTTGGTTAACAATGATGGACTATTCATATCTCAGATTTGTTCTAAACACATTTCTTGTGACTGATTAAGCATGACCCTTGGATTGCAGTTTAGCCCCATCTGTTACCACCACTGACAGAAAACTGCTCATGTATTCTGGCTGACTGCACACGTGAAAATAAGAAATATATACAGTAAACGTCCAGTTAAACAGATTAATAGTGGGGAAGAGGTATCTGTTTTAGCGAAAACCCATTATATTGGAGGTTTAGATTAAGTGGATGTAGTCTGCTTAACTGATCAATTATTGAATATGAACAAATCTCCAATAAAACAGTGTGTGCTGTATTGGTGGCACGACCGGACATTCAAAGAAAAACTAATGCAAGCATGCTTTGATCTCTCTCTCCCTCTCCCCCATTCAAGCTTTCAAGAATCTCAAAATAAACAGGTTCAGGTGACTGCAACTATCACACTTAGGCATATAGGTGATGGCAACTGTCATACATAGCAGCATGTGCGAGTTGCTCAGGATATTCCAAGAAAGTCTTTCCTAGTGACAGGAGACATTCAGGCTTCCAAGGAAATACTTACCATTACAATACCTAGGATGTGTTAACAAGACTGCATGGAGCAGGAGCAGGGTAGGTAAATATGATATGGAATCTTTATAGGGAATCTTCTGATATTTTCTTAAAATTCTCTGATATAAGGTGGCAATGATAGCATCTGACTCTTATATTGTCAAGTTTTACGTAAAACTTGGTCATGTTGGTTTAGTAATCACTTAGGTAAAATGATTTCATAATGGCACTAGATTAGTTGATAGTGATTAGATGCAGTTTTGGGCTGATTATCACTTTTTCATATTATTCTGCAACTAGGTTTCTGTAAACCTCTCCCCTTACCCCAAATTGGACAGTGTGGGTGATTAACAGTTGTATGGCTGATACTATCACACACCTTTCCTCTGTGAGAATTTACCCTTTACCTCTGTTGTTGATCTTTCAACATTGCTTAGCTCCTGACAGTGCACAAGAGTGCGAAAGATCATGCGCTAAAGATTTCCATCCCCATGTGATGTGTTTTGTGTGTGAGAAATGGCGAGTTCTAGAGGTGGTACCTTTTTGGATATACAGCATGTCCACAAAAACACTCCCCAATTTCAAATAGGTATAACATGCAACTTTATTGTAATAATCTTTCACAGTTAGTAGCTTCAGATGCAGGATTTCATTGTTTCATGTGGTATAGGGTAGCATTAAAGGCACTCACTGTGTGCCCCTCTGGTTGCTCGGCAAACATCGATGCAGTAGTCCAGTTCGGTCCAGATGCTTTACAGCATATATGGAGTTATCATGTGAACTGCTTCAGTGATCAAAATTCTCATCTTCTCCAGAGTTGCAGGTAGTGGGGGTATGTAAACTGTGCTCTTCATGTACCACCAAAGAAAGAAGTCGCAAACAGCTAGGTCCGGTGACTTCTGCAAGTGGCCTGCGAGGTCACCGAACCTAACTGTTTGTGACTTTTTTCTTTGGGGGTACGTGAAGAGCACAGTTTACATCCCACCACTATCTGCAACCCTGGAGGAGCTGAAAATTTTCATCATTGAAGCAGTTCACACGATAACTCCAGGTAAGCTGAAGATTATCTGGACAGGACTGGACTATCGCATTGATGTTTGCCGAGCAACCATAGGGGCACACATTGAGTGCCTTTAATGCTACCCTATACCACAAGAAATTGAATGAAATCCTGCATCTGAAGCTACTAACTGTGAAAGATTATTACAATAAAGTTGCATGTTATATCTGTTTGAAATTGGGGAGTGTTTTTGTGGACACCCTGTATAAATAAAGTACATACATACAGTAGTCCCTGTATCTGCAGGTGATATGTTTCAAGACCAACCATGGATAATCGAAACTGTGAATAGTAGCAAAAACAAACACGCACACACACGTACATATAATATATATATGTATAATTTCTCCATGGGGAAGTGGAACAGAATTCTTCCTCCGTAACCCATGCTTGTCGTAAGAGGCAACTAAAATGCTGGGAGCAAGGGGCTAGTAACCCCTTTTCCGGTATACATTACTAGAATTAAAAAGAGAAGCTTTTGTTTTTCATTTTGGGCCACCCTGCTTCTGGTGGGATATGGCGGTTGTTGAAAAAGTAAAGAATTATTATACTTTATTAAATAATATATATATATATATATATATATATATATATATATATATATATATATATATATATATATATATATATATATATATATATATAATATATATATATATATATATATATATATATATATAATTATATTTATAATTATATATTGTCATTTTTCATTTACATACATACCTATGATAGTTTACTTGATAAATTATGCACAATAAGTTGAGAATTAGCACTTTTTCACCAATGGGAAGCACTTCATGGCTTCTCTTAGGCTTTGCAGAACTGCCCTCATTACTACTATTGTGTTTTGGTGCCATAATTAACCCTTTGACTGTTTTGGTCGTATATATACATCTTATGAGCCAATGTGTTTGACGTATATATACTCAAAAATTCTAGCGCTTCAAATCAAGCGGGAGAAAGCTCGTAGGCCAACATGTGAGGAAATGGGTCTGTGTGGTCAGTGTGCACTGTATAAAAAAAAATCCTGCAGCAAACACCGCATAATGAGAAAAAAAAAAAAAACTCCGACCATGTTTCTGGATTAAAATGCCGACTTTGAGATGTATTTTCGTGTAGTTTTTATGGTTATATTCTCGTTTTCGTAGTCACATTTGATAGAATGGAAAACATATTATAGAAATGGAGGTGATTTTGATTCCTTTTACTGTGAAAAGGACCTTGAAATAGAGCTCAAAGTAGGGGAAATGTTTGATTTTTGCTGATGTTCAAGAGTAAACAGCGCTTCCCCCTTGATTATAATAATCAAGAGTAAACAAATGATGTCATTGTCTGATAAATGTTCAACTAGCCATTCTGATGTGCAGTCACAAATGGGTTGACATTATTTATACAATAATTACAATATTGCAGTAGTCTGCATAACAGTAAATCTTCTATTTTTTTTGTTTGAATAAAAATTCAAAATAGAAAGCAAGAGTAATATCAGAGGGGCCTGGAGATGTGGCTGATGAACAAAGAAAATGTTATTTTAGAGCCAGGAATGTCTGTATTGTTCATTCTGGACCCTATTTTGAAATTGGCATATTTTTTAATTTGCATGAAATTGGCCAAATTGACAATTTGACCACTTTATTGGGTAGGTGAAATCAGTAAATGGGCAGTTTCTTGTACTCAATCGATAGAACAAATGGAGTTCTAAAGAAATAGCTATGAGTTTGGTTGACTGGAACAATGGAATTAGCCAAAAATAGGGCTCGGTGGGCGAAATCACCGATTCGTAAATACCACTGAGGTCGCTAATTTCGCAAGAGCATAATTCTGTAAGTTTTCCATCAAATTTCGTACTTTTGGTGTCAT